TGTAGTGGGGTGCCCCAGGGCTCTGATCTGGGCCCAGTGCTCTTCAACATCTTCATCAACTATTTGGACGAGGGGATAGATGGGGAACTCATCAAATTTGCAGACAATACCAAGCTGGCAGGAATAGACAGGAGGATCTGGACAGATTTGAACACTGGGCGCTATCTAACAAAATGAAATTCAATGGTGAAAAAAGTAAGGTTCTACATTTAGGCAAGAAAAACCAAATGTACCGGTATAATATAGGGGATACCTTGCTCAATAGTAGTAACTGTGAGAGGGATCTCGGAGTCCTAGTGGACAGTCACTTAAATATGAACCAGCAATATGCTGCAGCTGCCAAAAAAACCAACACAGTGCATTAACAGAGGGATAGAATCAAGATCACACGGAGTATTAATACTACTGTACAATGCCTTGGTAAGGCCACACTTGGAATACTGCATGCAGTTTTGATCACCACGATGTAAAAAAGATGTTGAGACTCTAGAAAGAGTACAGAAAGAGCAACAAAGATGATTAGGGGACTGGCTAAAACATAAGGAAGGTTGCTAGAATTGGGTATGTCTAGTTTAATGAAGAGAAGGATGAGGGGGGACATGATAGCAGTGTTCCAATATCTTAGGGGCTGCCACAAAGAAGAGGGAGTCTAGCTATTTTCCAGAGCACCTGAAGGCAGGACAAGAAGCAACGGAGGAAAACTAATCAAGGAGAGAAGCAGCCTAGAACAGAGAAACTTCCTGACAGTTAGAACAGTTAACCAGCGGAACAACCTGCCTCTAGAAGCAGTGAATGCTCCAACATTGGAAGTTTTTAAGAAGAAACTGGACAGCCATTTGTCCGAAATCGTATAGAGTTACCTGCCTGAGGAGGGGGTTAGACTTGATTACCTCCAAGGTCCCTTCCAACATCATCATCATTATCATCATCATCATCATTATTATATAATAGGGAGAACTGTTTGAGGATTCAAATGTATTGACATGGAAGGTTAGTTGGCAAAGGAAAAAAGCCAGAGTAAGGCTGAAAAAAACTAGGGTTTTGATCTAGTAGAGGGGATTTGGTACTATTGATTAATGGGTTGAATATGGTGGAAAATAGATATTTTTTAGAAAATAAAGTAAAATAATTGAATAGGTGAGATGTGTAATAAAATTAATAGACTTTTGGTTTAATATGGTGAAAAATAGCTTTTAGAAAATAGAATAAGATTATATGCAAATAGACAAGATGTATATTTAGAATTTTAGATTTTGCTATAAAAAGGGGGAAATGTAGAAGGTGAGATAAGGGAAACTCTGGTCACTTAAAGCTTGGAAATTATAATATACCAAATGTTAACCTGAATATTGAGGGGAAATTAAAGCCTGGGGAAAAAAGCAGTAACAGGACATTGATTGTATATAAGAATTGAATGCAAACACATTTAAGATATGTATAAGCTAAAAATTATTGATAAATGTAACAAAGATGGTTTTACTTAGTAGATAACAACAAAAAATATATTAGCTCAATATGAGATAGTAGATATTAAGGGAAAAAGACAGAAAATATTTGATGCTGTAACTTGAGATTGTGCTAAAGACTTATGTATGTTATTGAATTATTGACTACTCAGCCACCACATTGCTTTTTAAATGTTTAATTGTAAAATTAGAAAACTAATAACATATTATATAAAAAGAATCTTCAATTTTCAGATCCTTATACTTTCTGATCTTCTCTATTCTACTATCTCCTGATATTGCCAAATCAGTTATCCACACTTTCTTCTTTTAAAGAAGTTAAACAGTTAAAACTGGTATGTTATGGACTAACGTTATCAGTTTGTATTCAGAAATCCCACAATATTTTAATCTGTTCAGTTTCAACTACTATCTCAATTCTGTGGTTCAACCAATTTTTCATTATTGGGACATGATAATTTTTACAGATGTTCCAGTGATCATTTTGGCAACAATGTTATATTATTATTTAAAATCAGTTTGTATGATTATCTTGCATGATCTCAGTATATAACCTACTGTTTCTTCTGCCTCTTTGCATAATCTGCACTTTTTCAATTCTGTCCTTGATTGCATTAGTTCAAATTATATTGGAACTTGAAGATGTTTTTTATTCCTTTTTTGCCTTAAGGGATATCTAAAGCCCCTTCATCTTATTTTTGTTTGTGGAGCCTTACATCATGGCTCTTTCAGAAGGTCATGGGATAAGGTGCTCTTTTATTCCATCCTCATGCTGGAATTTTATTCCTCAATCTTCCCTGGAAGGAAACATTATAAACCAGGGATGTATGTGTTTTATTGTGGTATGGTATGGTATATGCTATTACTATTTTCAACTTGTTTCTTTAGATTATGTTCTAAATTGCCTAGAGTTGTTTGTATGAGTGAGGCAGCTCATAAATAAATATTATCAAAACAGTTGATATTCCAAAACCCCACTTCCCCCCCCCAAGAATAACTAAGGGAAATGGGAAATTTAGCTAATGATTAAGGGCAATGGATCAGTGTTTTGGTCTGCTGGTGTCAAATCAATACTGGTTTCTTTATTCTGGAATCCTTGTTATTGCTATGATTACAAAAAGGCAGGAATAGAAATATATTAAAATCTTAGAAACAGAAGATCCCATTTGGGTTGGTGGATCCAATACTCTACTTCCATGGTGGCGAACCTATGGCATGCATGCCACCGGCGGCACACAAAGCCCTCTCTGTGGGCATGCGTGCCATCGCCATCACCCCAGTCGTAGGCTTTCAGTCCCATCTGCCATCTGCATCAGGGTAAGGTTGCTGCACCCACCCCACCTCCCCAAGCATTTTTTTTATTAACCTGCCTTTCAGCTGCATTCCATTTCTCTGTTCGCTTCTCAGCCTTCACCGCGTGTTTATGGGACTATCGGTAAAAAAAAAAAGTTCCATCAGATTTTCTAGCTTTTCGCGAGATCTCAACAAGTTAGAAAGTCTGATGGAACTTTTTTTTTAACCGATAGTGCCCTTCCCATGCCAGTCCAGCCCCTGCAGCCCCGGGATGGCTGTGCTGAGTGGCGGTGGGCAGGATGTTGAGGTGGGGGCTGGCAGGCTGACTAAAGCAGCAGGTGGGGTGCCAGAGGCTTGGGGATGGAGGGCACTGAAGTGGGCGGTCGGGCCATTGGCAAGAGCAACACGTCTGAGTGGAAAACAGCCTCAGAACAAGTGGGGCAATGAAAGACTGCAAAGTTGGAATTGATTGATTGACTCCCCCCCCCAAAAAAATCTTCCTTTGTTTCCTTGCACACGGGGCTGGAAGTCAGGTAAAGAAAGAAAGGCAATTTCTGGGGGAAGCGAGGATTTCTTTCCTTATCTGCCCCACTTGTTCCAAGGCTGCTTTCCACTCAGACGCATTGCTCTTGCCAATGGTCCGATCGCCCTCTTCAGTGCCCTCCCTCCCCGAGCCTCCGGCACTCCACCTGCTGCTTTGGTGGTTCTGTAGACAGAGCTGCTGTGTCAGAGAAGAGAACTTTGCAGCTCTGCCTACAGAGCCACCAAAGCTGTAGCTGAATGGGCAGGTGAGGGGGAAACCTGCCCCACTTGTTCCATGGCCGCTTTCAGCCGAGCCGCATTGCAGCAGCATTGGGTGCAATACACGAGGTGGCAAATAGCTGAGCCATGCCAAAACCGGCTGTTTGCCACCTCCTGCCCAATGCCTCTGCCATGAGGCTGTGGAACAAGCCACCTGGCTGGTTCCATGGCCTCATGTCAGCAGCATTGAGTGCGGTGCGCAAGATAGCAAATGGCTGCAGCCAGTGGCAAACAGCCACGTCATATTGAAACCAGCCATTTGCTGCCTCTGCCCCGTGCCACTGCTATGAGGCCGCGGAACAAGCCGGGCAGCAGTAAGAAACCAGTATACTGGTTCCTTACCTCTGCCGGACTTGTTCCGCGGCCTCATGGCAGCAGCATTGGGTGCGACATGTGAGGCGGCAAATGGCTGCAGCCGGCAGCAAACAGCCACATTGTGCCAAAACGGAGGGGCTGGCAGGGTGTGGCTTCTGATGGACACAGTTGGCCCCCCTGCACTTGCTGTGTGTGGGGGCTGATAGTGTCAGGCAGTAGTTGCCCTGCCTCCTGCCTTGCCTTGCCTTGCCTTGCCCTGCGGCAATTGCACCCCTGCCTTGCCCTTTGCCTCGCCTCACCCTGCAGGATGAGCCTTTTGCCCACCGTCCCACCTGCCAGAGACCCCTTGGATCTCCCCCAACCCTGCCTGGCCCCCACAGGTGTCCCTCCCCATGAGCAACATCAAATTGGCCATGCCCACCTCGGCCCTGTCTACCCAATCTGCTGTGGCTACCCAATGGCCCATGCCCACCCGGCATCCGGGAATATATAAGTAGGTCTTGGGTTGCAGTTTGGGCACTCGGTTTCTAAAAGGTTCGCCATTACTGCCCTATTTGGAACAATACTCCAAATTAAAGTAGTGCAGGGAGATGGCTGCTAGCTTCTGACTGAATGCTTACAGTGAAGTGGATCTCTTTGGATGAGTAGATTTATTGCTGAATTGCTCTTTCTGTTTGGAAAGTTTTTAGTTAGAATCTACTTTGTATGGGCTACAAGTAGTAAATTTAATGTGGTAAAGTTGCCTAACTGGTGGCTTCTGGAAGAAGACTTCCCTTTTGATAGAAGATTCTAGGAAGAGTAGAAGGTGGCTTTTACCTGACCTAGTGGTGAGGCAGGGTTTTAAAATATTGTACAACTGGATTAATTAATTAATTATCTCCTGTCCCTTGTGACAACTAGTGAGCATTGCAGATTTCATAAATAAGATAGCCCTTTTATAACACATTTGTATCCATTCTGTATTTGATGCTTATGACCAGAAATATTTATTATATTTATTACATATGATTGTTTACAACTTTTTAAAGACAGAGCAGAATATATAGTAGTTTCTTTATTATAATATTTCTATTTCTATTGCTTTTGTTTTTCTTTTGGAATAAATACTTGAAAATATTTTCCCAGATGTTTACCAAAGCCACAGGTTTGTTTAACAAGTTTTGAGAACTATGGTTGTAACCAATATGAATGTGTGCCAAGACAATTCAGTTGTGGTGACCAGTTGCAAGATCCTGTTTGTGACACAGACAATATAGAATATAATAATCTCTGTGCTCTGCATCAAAAAGGAAAAATTATATCATACAAAGGCCCATGTCAGGTATGCAGTAATATAACAAACTACTTTTTTTCTTAAATTCTGTTGTTCTTCCTATCTAATTCTAATTTTTCTCTTTATGCTATTTAAGAAAGTATAAACTGCAAAAAAGGCATTTCTTTTTATAGGTATTGATTTAACATTACTTGGGCTAATCTTGGAAATCCCTATGAATAATTCTGTACAGTCTATATGAGGATTTTCTTTACTATTTTATTTTGTTTGATAGAATTTAAAAGTGCAGCCAAGAAGAAAATGAAGAAATAGAAAAGGAATCTACAAGCTTTATAAAATTAAATGAGAATTTTCAAAGTAACAATACTAGTTAAAAAGTTGTCATATCAATTTAGCAGTTTAAAAATATAATTAAAATCAAAATGATAGTGAATAATTAAAAAAGACACCCAATTTGATTAGAATCATTAATCAGAATAAACAATAAGAGTTTCTGCCTAAACTGAGTTTAATACTTTAAAGTCAGTTTAATACTTTAAAGTCTATAAGCAAAATTGCAATACACACTTTCCAGATTACATTAAATTCAATATCTAATATAATGTTAATGTTATATTTATTGTGCTAGTACTTTAATCTTTTGTAATATTGTTTTATCAGATTGTAAACTGCCCGAAATTGTGTTAGAGCTAGATGGGCGGCATATAAATTTAATAAAATAAATAAATGTCTTTTTTAAAAAATAAAAAGTTATTTTTAACATTGATGCCTACCTTCATAGCTTAGTCTGGTATGCCTCCAAATAATGAATTATATATAACTTTTAATACAAGCACACAATCCTAACAGTTTTTATAGAGAAACAGCAGTAAATCTGATATTTATCTTCCATTAGTATTCATATTGTTTGATTTTAATTGCCTGTTTAAATATGTATCAATATAATCAAACAATTTTTTTATTCAGTTTCTGAATCAATTTTCAGTACAAATCTATAAATAAGCCTTTATTGCATACAACATTTAAGTATTTTATGAAGTGTAATTAATATCTCAGCTCAACATTATATTTTTATTTCTGAATTTGTTTAATAAAAAGGCATTTTAAATGATAAAACTGTATACCATTTGTTAAAACTAAATAAGAAGTGGCAGAGTAAAGAAGACTTGATAATAATAGGGGAGGACTAGCAACAATCAACAAAAAGTGATTCTCCTGTTACTCTAACTGTCCTTTAGAGACAAACCTACTACGTTAAATATATACAAAGACAAATGATGCAATATTTCAATTAGAAGGTATTCTTTTAAAGCTTGGAGATTTTGTAATATACCATAGACTAATACTTCGTAGACTAGCAGTGAAGGCTTTGGGGAAAATATTCAGATATTATGTCTACCAATATCAGAATCATCAGGCAATGGTTTTCCTGTGATACTGTGGAAATGAAAGTTGGATTTTAAACAAATAGAATATAAAAAAATTGACATATCTCTGAATAATCTTAAGATTTTATAGAAGCATCTAAAACACAATATAATTTTTATGGCCAAACATCATAATGTTAGGTTTTCAAAGTTGTTGAATTGGTCAAGCAATAATTTAAAAGTAACCTTAGAAAAAACACATCTATTTGGTATAGCAGTTAAGATATTGGCTTAGAACCCAGGAGACTACGAGTTTTCCCCTTCTCTTTTATTTTATAGTTTAAAATTGCATTTGTTTCTGCCTTGTATATTCATTTCTGTTTTACTGGATACTGGATAATGTAAACACTGAAAACTCATTACTCTTTTTGCACACAGTTTGGGGAATTATATTCTCCTCTGATTTTGGAAATAACTGCAAATTTCTTTCTGATATCTATCTATCTATCTATCTATCTATCTATCTATCTATCTATCTATCTATCTATCTATTTCTTTCAGTCTTTTTGCAACTCAATAGATTTGGTATGTGGCCATAACGGAGAAACGTATAGCAACATCTGTGCTGCTTTTTCTGATCGTGTGGCTGTTGATTACAATGGACCTTGTCAAGCTGTAGGAGTCCTTTCTGACTACAGTTATCATGGAGAATGTGTATCTGTTACATGTTCCCGTCTTTCAGCCACAGGATACAAGCCAGTTATCCCACCAGGTGAAAATTCTGACATTAATATTTGATTGATATTTTATAACATTTAAATGATACTCATAAAATATTGGGATCATCTTGAGAAATGCTTGGGATCATCTTGAGAAATGATACAATTTTAGATTTTTGCATACATAAAATGATTCTTCATTATGGTCTCTTGACTCACACTGAGGGGATTTTGTTTCTTTGCAGTATTTTTTTTGCAATTCCGGAACTGAGCTTTCTCTCATTTCCCATTAAAACTGACCAGCCAGTTGGAAATAATATACATTCTGAATTTTGGAGGTTTTTTTTATCAGTGATAGAAATTTTGTTAAAACAAGGACAAACTGTTCTTTGCTCAATATTTCTCAGTCAGTTGTTTCAGTCATATATTTGTGCTACCAACTAAGTACCAGCTGTCTCCATCTTTCTCCTATTTGAGCAATGGCAATTTCAGTAATATGTTGTATTACTCCTCAAATGATGTCTTTTGTTTGGTTGCCCATAGATACCATCTCTTCCCCAAGTATTTAACTGATTACTTTATTATCAGTGTAAATTACAAAGGCCACAGTGAAAAATTGGTTATTCGTTTGTAACTCTAGTAGTACAGTACATATGTCAACTGTAAATTTATTCTTGGACAAATTTCACTGTCTACCCTCCCTCTATTTTGGACTTTAATAGATTTTCTCATGATGATGATCTATGATTATTGATGATAAATAGGATTCCATAGAAGCTAATGTTCTACATTCTACATTAGGTACAATTGTAAACAGGATTATTATGGAAGAAAAGTATATGAGTCTGTAGTAGAGGATGAATCAGGAACATGAAAGCTTACATAAAGTTGAATTAATAATGCTAATAATAATAAAAAAGAGCTTATTTAAATACTGTGTGTTTTTCAGTAAAGATGAAACATGTTCTTACATTCCTCTAGGATTTTTAACTATCATAACATTCATAGAGGTCTTTTTTTGTACATTTCAATCAGTCTTTGGGTGTTTGCTATCTTTTTATTGTGCAGGAGCTTGTTGTCCTTTGTATGCAGGAATACTGAGGGTCTTATATGACAAAGAAAAATTGGATACTTTTGCCAAGGTAAGTAAGCATCATTTTTTTATTATTAAAATGTTAAATCATTGGGAATGGCCATCTATTCTGGACTTGCAGATATTCAATAGAATTTATAATTGAGCACGGGGGAATAAGAATAGAAAACAAACAATCATTTATGGATAGTAAATGATCTTCCTTGTAGTGACATAAGGCAAGCTCAGGTGGCACAAATTGTCGCAATTTTTTCTGGACTGTAGTTAGTATCTGTGATCTAAAATAAATATAGATTGCACTTAACAAATTACTATCTACATCATGAGCCGTGGTAGTGCAGTGTTTAGAATGCAATGTTACAGGCTACTTCTGCTGCCTGCATGCTGCCTGCAGTTCGGCAGTTCAAGTGTCACTGGCTCAAGGTTGACTCAGACTTCCATCCTTCTGAGGTCGGTAAAATGAGGACCCAGATTGTTGGGGGCAATAGGCTGACTATAAACCGCTTAGAGAGGGCTGTGAAGCACTGTGAAGCAGTATATAAGTCTAAGTGCTATTGCTACATGCATGAAGGGGACCACCTCTCCCCAGATACGTTAGCCTTCCCCATTAGATCTCACAAAGAAGGCATGTTGCAAGTGCCATGAGCTAAGGACTTAAATTTGGTGGATCCCATGACATGTATCTTCTTTGCTATGGCCACCACCCTTCTTCCCCCTGAATTTAGATTGGCTTCACATCTTTATGCTGCCAGACCTAAGGCTTCTATGAAACTGGACAGTTGTCTATGATTCCATTGCTGAGGCAGATATTTTTATCTCCCCTTTGCCCATGGTTAGTATTTTTGTTTTTATATTATTTGTGGGTTTAAAATATTTTTATAAGTATTATATTGGGTGTTTTATTTATTGTTGTGCACTACACTGCTGTCACCTTTGGGGAAATGAGGGGGCTGTACAAAATTGATTAATAAAATAATAAAATACATAAATGCTGCCTTGCCACTGGAAAACAGCTAACTAATTGGTTCTATTTAACCAGAAGTGTGGGTTTCAGAAGTATCAGGCAAGAAAATTAAAAAACATAAGACAAAAGAAGAGCTAAATAGTCTGGTACCAGCACCTCTCTATTCTATTCTAGACTAGCAAACCATCCATCCTGTGAGAGATTATGGAGAGTCTAAGGAAACTAATATAAGGAACATTAGAAATAGACAACATGAAATAGAGGAGTCCAGTTTATTTCATCAATGGCAACTTATAGATGGCAAGAAACATGGGAAGAAATTATTCAAAAATATTCTGAGGGATTTCATCATAATATACTAATAAATATAACATCTTAACTCACTAATAAATAAGGGTTGGAAATTATTTTTGCAGTTTTCAGGAGTCTGTGATTAGATTTCCCAACACTAATGGTAAAGATAACTGAAATCCTTGTAATTCTTCATCCTGGCCAGGTATGTGGGGCTGGACATTTTCCTGAACTATATTCATATATCACCTTTTACATTACCTTTCATCTCTGTTTTTCAAGATCTTATTAATTCCATCCAATTTTCTGACTCTTCTGCTTGCCCTTTAAATAGTTATTCTTTTTTCATATAATTATTTGTGATAGAAACTAAAAGACATTATTGCAATCATTAAATGGCATAAAGGAAATTAATATGAAAAATCTCCAAAGATGAATTGAGAATATTAGAATATTTAGGAGAAATATATAGGAAGAATTTTTACTAAAAACAATATTGAAAACAGAAAATACTGAGAAACTTGCTCAGGATACATATCTTCAACAAGAAAGAAAAAGAATTTTAATTATCAATCAGAATAGCATAACTTTTAAAATGAAATTCAAATAAATATTAATAAATAAGCAATACAATAATACAAAAAGGATTGTGTGTGTGTGTGTGGGGGGGGGTTATAAACTTGACTTGCAAGCCCTGAGAAGAATGTAAAGTAGTCCTTGCTTACCAATCCTAACTGGGACTGGAATTTCTATCACTAAACAATGACAGAAACATCATGGCACTGCATCATTAAATAATAACTGGTTGCAGTTGTTGGGCCAGGATTGCCTCATCATTATCTCACATTTTTTCTGCCCTGCCACCTTCACCTCCATTTGTCTCTACCCTTGTCATCAAGAATTCTGCCCTGCATCCCTACTGCCCTGCATTCTGTCGCGTCTGTTGATCCCAGCTGACCTTTGACATCTTCTGCTTGCTGTTGACATTTATCTTAACAGTGAGAGACAGAATAACAACAAAAATCCAGAAAAACACATTTCAGAAAAGTTATAAATTGATTTGCATTTTAATGATTGAAATAAGTATTTGATCCCCTATCAATCAGCAAGATTTCTGGCTCCCAGGTGTCTTTTGCACAGGTAACAAGCTGATATTAGGAACACTCTCTTAAAGGGAGTGCTTCTAATATCAGCTTGCTACCTGTATAAAAGTCACATGTCCATAGAAGCAATCAATCAGATTCCAAACTCTCCACCATTGCCAAGAACAAAGAGCTGTCCATGGATGTCAGGGACAAGATTGTAGACCCGCACAAGGCTGGAATGGGCTACAAGACTATCGCCAGGCAGCTTGCTGAGAAGGTGACAACAGTTGGTCCAATTATGTAAGAACCCACTTCAATCCCACATCTTAAGAAAGCAGAACTCTTGGAAACAATTTTTTCCAACAGGAACTTTTATTAAGAGTAGGTGGTAGTAGGTATAATAGACAGGATCTGAGTTATTCCTTTACAGATATTTTAAAGTGTCTCCAAGCAACCCCCCCTCACAGTTCATCCAGATGATTCAGACTGGCCAATCCCCAGGTGTTGTGCATTGTGGGAAAGGGGAGATAACATCAATCCGGCTCCATTTGTAGTGCGATGTTCCACAGCTCGTCACACCTCCTTTTGAGAATGGAGAAATAAATCAGGTCCCGGAGGTTTGTACTTCTCCCCCTCCCCCCTTTTCCGAGCTGGCTGGTTAGGGAGAAGAAGGTTCAGAGAAATGCATAATGCAAGAGGCAATTTGTTACACTGTAATAGATAGCAGACATGGAGTCAATAAACAAAAGGTTACATTGTAGCAAATAGAGGAGAAGTGAAAGCAATAAACCTGCATGCATATCCCCCTTCCCCCTTGGAAGTATAGCAGAATCCAGGGAAAGGTGAGATTTGATTTTAGATCAGAGGAGATAGATGGAAATGAAATACAATGGGATTCTGACATCCTGCCCCCCTTAAAAATAAGAGAGATCCACCTGTAGAGAAAACAAAACAGGTATAGAGGTTTGTCTGGTTTGTTGGGATATTCTGTATGAAACTTCTTTAGCAGTTTAGGTACTCTGACGTGACGTTTATGGACACGCTTGTTTTGTGAGGAGGGAAGGTGTTTTCATGCTACTAGGTATTGAATTGCCGCGTGATACTTCCTAGAGTCTAGAATTTCTTTTATCTCAAAGTGTTGTTCTCCTTCAACCATGATTGGAGGTGGTGGTGGGGGAATTTTTGGCTGTAAGGGTGACTGTTGTTCTCTTTACAGAAAGCTGCAGTGAAAAATTGGGTGTATTGAGATTTTTGGGTAGTTCTAATTCTACTGTTGGCCTTTGAACTATGGTGCTGGAGAAGACTCCTGCGAGTTCCTTGGACTGCAAGGCATTCAAATCGGTCAGTCCTAGAAGAGATCAATCCCGACTGCTCTTTAGAAGGCCAGATCCTGAAGTTGAAACTCAAATACTTTGGCCACCTAATGAGAAGGAAGGACTCACTGGAGAAGGGCCTAATGCTGGGAAAGATTAAGGGCAATAAAAGAATGGGACGACAGAGAATGACATGGCTGGATGGAGTCACTGAAGCAGTAGGTGTGAACTTAAATGGACTCCAGAAGATGATAGAGGACAGGAAGACCTGGAGGAATGTTGTCCATGGGGTCGCGATGGGTCAGATATGACTTCGGAATTAACAACAACAACAATTCTACTGTTACTGGGTTTATGATTCTTTTAACTGGAAAAGGTCCTATATATTTTGGGCCAGATTTTTACAGGGCTGTAGGGATTTTAGGTATTTTGTAGACAAATATACCACTTCTCCTACAGTGAATGGTGTGGGTTCGACTCACTTTTTATCTCCTTGTGCTTTGTATGCTTGCCTAGCTTCGTCTAAGGCTTTTCTACCTATTGGCCAGGTATTTTGTAATTGTGCTATCCAGTCATTCAGTAATGGGATTGCTGGTTCATTTGGGATTAGTTCTGGCATGGGGTTGAAACTTTGACTGGTGGCTATTTGAAAAGGAGTGTAGCCTGTGCTGGAGTGGAATGTGTTATTGTAGGTGACTTCTGCGAAAGGGAGTAGGTCTGTCCAATTTTTTTATGGAAATTAATAAAGCATCTTAAGTATTGTTCAAGTACTGAATTAAAACATTCTGATTGACCATTCCCTTGAGGATGATGACTAGATGACAGTCTCTGAGTGGTTCCTAATGGATAAAAATTCCTTCCAAAATGCTGATGTAAATTGCACTCCCCTATCAGATATGATGCGTTGGGGTGCCCCATGCAATCTGTAAATGTGCTGCACGAAACGTTTCACTAAAGTTTTTGCGGTGGGAATCTTTTGGCAAGGGATAAAGTGCACCTGTTTAGAAAATAGGTCTGTAACCATCCAGATGACAGTGTTTCCATTGCTTTTGGTAATTCCACTATAAAATTCATGGACATTTCTTCCCAGGGGACTGAGGGATTCGCCACTGGTTGTAACAGTCTGGGCGATTTCCCTTGCAACCTCTTAGCAGTTGCGCACATTGGGCACCTGGCCACGTAACCTTCTATGTCCTTTTTCATGGGCGGCCACCAAAATTGTCTTTTAATTAAATGTAATGTTTTTACAAATGCAAAATGCCCTGCTGATTTTGTGTCATGGCATAGCTGCATGAAAGTGACCCTCTGGGTGGTTGGTATATATAGCTTATCCCCCACCCATGGGAGTCCATCTTTGTCTATTTTTCTGGAACTGTTTCCAAAGTTTTCCGGAATT